TTCATAGTGACATTGTCATATAAATTTTGATCCTATACATCATATTACCTTTCACTTATAAATTTTATAAACTCCGTATCTTCTATATGTATGTTAATTTTTCGATAAGAAGTAATAACCTACTTCAGAAAAAAAATAATCATTCCTTTTTAATTATGCAGGACACTCTTTCTGAGTACTATACTAGTGGATAATGCAGGATCAAAATCCCCGAATATAATCACATGAGCATATTTAAATGCATGTAAATATTCACATGTATATATTTGTATGTATATTATAATATGTATGTATACATAGTCAAGTCATTTTAATTAATATTTTGTGTGGAGATTGTCATAACAATGTTACACATGTTATAGGCCACTAAAAATTATTGAGCGAACTATTGCTAAGGGTAAAATCTTATCTAATTCTTGAAATATCTTTAATTTCCTGTCAGTTCAGATTCTTTTTCAAGTAATTCTGAAGTCTCCTCTTTAAAGCCAAAGCAGATAACCAAAAAATTGTAAAATTCCACTAATGAAAATATCTAAAATTCTTATATGTGCAAACTATTCTTATCATTCTTTCTCTTTCTGCTCAATTTTTAAAAAATTGCTTAGCCTCTTAAGAAATGGAAGTTTACCAGTGTTTCCACTGATAATATCTAATTAAGCTTTCTCACACTAATAGTAGCCATATACAATTTAAAATGAAAATTAATAACTGTTCAAGTCACAATAGTAGTAAACAATAGATTATTTATGGATAAATCTATTAAGAAATTTATAAAACATAATAGCAGACAATTACAAATTCTTATTGAAGTATCTAAAATGCTGAATTGAATAAATGGAAAAATAGATTATGATTTTTAGTCAAATTTAGAAATTTTAAAATGTGAACTGTGTTGATGCATGATGGTTACTGAAATTACAAATACAGACTTTTATTAAGCTAAATTTAAATTTTACCCAAGGAAGAAATGTGAAGTGTACACATTTTATAGACAAAGTACCTTGGTTAGAATTGTGGTTCCATCATAGCTTTGTTATCTTTGGAATGATATTCATCTTTACTAAATCTCAGTTTTCTCATATTTAAATAAGAATAGAATAAAGTGATGTGCTGGCAGTTTAGCTCAGCAGCTCACTTGCCTGGTAAGTGTGAGGTGTGAGTTCGATCCCCAGTATAAAAAAAAAAGAATGAAGCGATGTATGTAAGTACTTAAATCAGCATTTGACAATATATCTTAGGTATTAATGTTCATTATAATATTAGTGCTAAAAATATTATTAGTATAGGAAGATTAAATGACCACAAAGAGCCTAGAAATTTACTAATAGAAATTATGCTTTATCAGATATTAAATCTTACCTAAAGCCATGCAAAAACCAAAGCCCTCCCAAACCTGGCAGAGTATTGTGATAAGAATATAAAAATAGATCAACGAAATCAAATGAGAACCTATAAATATGAAAATTAAAAATTACATATTTAATAGAAAAATTACTCAATAAATTATGACTGCTATGTAATTAAAAGAAAATGAATTTAGTTTCTTTACTCATATCAGATATTAATTATACCTTGATTAAAATTTGTAATTAAAAAAAGAACAATAAACATTTTAAAAGAAAATTTAAAGTTCTATGTACAACCTGAAGGTTGGGTAGTACCTTTTAACAAATATAGGAATTCCAAATCAATACATTGATTTTATGAAAAATTAAAGATTTATATATGATAGCTGGTATATGTATAAAGAAAAGAAAGAAATGAAAAAATGTTTTAACATATTCAACAGAAAAGTTCCTAAAGTTTATTACATACAAAATGAGTTGATAAGAAAAAACATTCTAGCCGGGCTTGGTGGCGCATTCCTGTAATCCCAGCACTCAGGAGGATGAGGCAGGCAGATTGTTTGTGCAAGTTCAAGGCCAGCCTGGACTACAAAGTGAGCCCAAGGCCAGCCTGAACCACATAGTGAGATACTGTCTCAAAAAGACAAGAAAAAATAAAGAAAGAAAGAAAGATGAAAGAGAGAAAGAGAAAGAAAGAAAGAAAAATTATTCTAATAAAAATTAACATTGACATTAAGGAAATGCAAATTAAAATAGCCTATTAGCAAATAATTAAACTGTAATTATATATTAATGGTGGTGATCTGAAAAAAGGTACTATCAAAACTTACTGATGAAAATATACTTTTCAGTTGTTTCATAGAAGAATCTGAAAAATATCTTTAAAAAATAAAAAAAATACTGTTGAACATAACATCTCATTCATGAGACTATATCTCTTTGATATAAATTCACAAAATTGTAGGCATTATTGATATATTGGTAGATTTTCAGGAAAGGAGGGTAATAAATGCCAAGAATATTAGACAGCATCTAGTAGAGCTATATATGAATTATGGAAATCTTACAATTCTAGACTGGTCAAGTCCAGACTGCAAATAAACATTCACAAGTTAATTCAAGCCAGAATTGCTCGCAGGCATTTTGTATTAATCTTCTTTCTTACTATTAGGTTGACTCATCATGGTTACTATGCTGTTGGTTTCTAAAATATTAATGTGTCTGCCTAGGTATGTTTCATTCAGTAGTATGTTAGTCAGTTAATAAAAAGTGTGGGAGTTAAAACACATTCTTGTTTGTTATTACTGTTGAAACATATTCCAGTAGAAATTTTAAATCCACAGTCAGTAGCCATTTTAACAGTAGGTCATATAAACCTGGGATTTGAACCTAGAGCTTCTGTGTGTAGTGGTTTTTCTATTCATACCTTCATTTTATTACATTAACTTTATAGGAGAAGGTAAACAAAAGCCTATTTCAGCCCAATTTTGCACATAGGAGCCTATAATATATAAATATAATAAATATTTTAAATAAGTCAAAGAAATTCATTGAACAGAAGCAATGACATAAAATAACAATTCAAAAATATTCCTTATACTAATATACTGGTAAAAACCTATGTAATATTTTAACAGTTACTGGTGAAGTACCTGTTTTTCTTCTTTTGGCAGAAATGGGGTATATTATCACATTAGGTAAGCATTCTTCTCAATGACAAATGGAAATTAATGCCTTATTCAGAGCATTGGTAAATACATTATAAAATTGCAAGAGATACCAGTGTTTGAGTATGCATTATGGATCAATCTCTTGTATTAAATTGCTTCAAATTTTTACAGCTATTAAAGAAGACACTGATGGACAGCTGTCTTGAAGTTAATGGAAGTGTTCCTTAACAAGCTGAAATTTTCAGTCTTTGGAGAGTGCAGCTTAGCTATAGTCCTTATTTTGATGGCACCATAGTTATGTGGCCCAGCTCATACTTTGAACAAAAGAATGATCCCTAGTTCATGTAGAAAGACAAGAAGGACTTGGTTCCATATTTCCGTCACTGAAGGTCCTTTTCATTTGCAGTGCTAGTTGGGTTCTGATGACCTCTCTATGCTGTATTTCTGCAGATCCTGAGTAGCAGGCTCTACCAAGTCCTGTTAGCTGTGGCCTTTGATCACCTGAAGTCACCCAACTTGACATGGGGCCACGTGAAGTCAGGAATGCTGATTGCAATTGGGAGCCAGTGACTAGCAAGGTTCTAGCCTAATTGGAGCTGCCATTTTTTTTTCTAACTAATCACTCATTAGCCTATTTTAGTTTGAAGTTCTCAACTTCATATGGTAGATAAAAGCAATGAATAACTTGATGCTTCAGCTATAATATTGATCATTAATTCTGCTTTGCAAAAGAAAAAGATTTTAGTGGAGGGAAAGAGAAGGAGATAGAAGCAAACAACAACAACATAAGAGACAGAGGTATGGTGATAACGTAGAAAAGAGAAAATTTTTGAACTAAAAAGAGATTACTTTTTTTTTTTTGTCTTTTTCCTTTTTATCGGTACCGGGGATCAAACTCACGACTGCCTGCTTGCAAGGCAGGTGCTTATGCCGCTGAGCTAAATCCCCAGCCCCTAAAGAGATTACTTTCTATGTAGCTCTTTGCATTCTTCAAGCCCCAGGCACAACTCATTTCTTCCAGAAAACATCTACCTTGTTCTGTGTGTTACGTGGATAATTTTATTATTTATAAAATTAATTTGTTGAATAAACTGGACTGTTTTGCAATTTGTATATTTTATAATTTTTCTATTTTCCAATTTTTATTTGATGATCATGAATAACATTTTAGAAATCAAAGGAAAATTTGCTTCTAAAATTTCAGCAGTGTTACTTCAACTAAATTGTGTTTGAAATCATTGAGATACGAATGTATATTCTGGTTAAATTAGTAGTCTGTATATGTGCATCCATATTTATAGCAGCACAATTTATAATAGCTAAATCTTGGAAACAACCCAAATGCCCATCAACCAAGAAACAGATAAAATGATGTATTTTATATAATGGGGTACTACTCAGCTATAAAGAAGGGTAAATTTGAGGCTTTTATTGATAAATGGATACAACTAGAAACCATATTCAGAAGTGAAATTAATCAGACTCATATTTGTAAACATCATATTGTCTCCCTAATATAAGAAACAGGAAGAGTAAATAAGAACCAAAATGTAAAATTGATGCTGTGAAAAGGAAAGAAATTGCTCAAAAGGAAAGAACAACTGGAGTAAGGGAAAAGAGAAAAGAAGCAAGGGAAAAGAAAAAAATATGTGTGTATATATATATATATGTATCTATATATATGTAAGATAGCTAAGATAATTATACTACTAATTTCTATTAGTTAACTGAACAGAATGGTTTGTGATTATATTGTTTGATCAACTTTGTATGCCTTTAACATGTAATCTGAGCCACTATCTTGAAGATAATATGTTATATATTAACTATCCTATTATCTTGTTTGAATATCTGTATCATTGTTTTTATTATTTTTTTCTCTTTAAAAAATTAGTAGTCTATGTAAGATTACATTTGAAAGATACAATTTTTAATTTCAAATTTAGCATACAAAGAATTCTCTTAATTTTTTTTTTGATAATAGGACATCTCCAAGTTTGCAGAGAAAGACAATATAGTACTTGGAGAAGGTGGAATCACCCTGAGTGGAGGTCAGCGTGCAAGAATTTCTTTAGCCAGGTGAATACCTGATTTTTTTTGATCCAGCAAAAATTTGCTGTAATTATCATGCACTTAAAACATATAGACATTTCTTTCACATTATAGTGTATTTCTGGAATTTAAAATTTGAGGTGTATGGCTAATTGAAAGAACTGTTTTCCAATTTGTTAAAAATAAGGGCTTTTTAAAATGCATTTCCTTATTTTGGTCTGTGTGTACTTGTTTGTTTTATAAACTGAAAGCCCTAGGATTCTGCATAGAAACAGGAAGAGGGAAGATACAAAGTTTTGTTGATCCCATCATGAAGTTCTCTGCCCAGCCCTCTACAATTAACACACACAACCCTCCACAGTGCAACTCCACAGCCTCCACAATAGTGTAGGCTTCTGTTCGTGCTTCTTGATTTGCATAAACATACATTTTGTAACTTTTTATCATAATTTATAATTTTGATAACAAAAATAGTAATAAGATAAATGTCAGTTGGATTAAGGTCCATCATCTTCAAAGTAAATTCAGAGGATAAACAAATGTGATATTGTGCAGGCAGAATTTCCCTTGATACAGACATTCTTGGCACAAGCATTTAGAAGTCAAAAAGACTTGCATTTAGTTAACTTGTGTTTAGAAGAAAACATTGTAACTTTCAGTTTAAAAGTTACTGGTGACATGGAATGTCAGATATTCTTCAAGTTTTATTTGAGCAAAATTATGCTTGATATATTATTAAAGTTATTAATAAGAAATCAAATTATTAATAAGAAATCATGTTTGTGCATCTTTCCCTTTCTCTTTTCTGCTTCTAAAATCTGGGACAGAAATCTAAGTCTACACACAAGCAGTTACCTAGTACAGCTCTTAAGTGTGTGTGTGTGTGTGTGTGTGTGTGTGTGTGTGTGTGTGTGTTTTCTCAGTCCTCATCCAACCCTGCGAAGAAAGAATTGTTTCCCTACCTTACAGAAGAAATCATATGATAACTGTATATTAGACATTAACTTGCCACTAGCAATGCAAGGAAATTATGGAGTTGCACTCTGAAACAAGTGCTCCTAATTCTTTGTATTAAACTGTCACTTCATCTTGGGAATTGAACTGTGAAATAATGCTTCAATAGATAGAGATAATTTATTTTATGATGTTTGAGATACTACTGAAAATCCTATGGTTATTTTGATCAGAATGTGTAATGTGCTGTCCAATTTGGGCTGATGAATATATTATTTCTAATCTCTTGAGAAAGTGGTTCTAAGTGTGAAGGAAAGTATCTTTAATATGTTATGTGTTTCTAATAACTCAGCATTACTGATGTTTCAGTTATAAAAAAAAAGGCTTATTTTGGCTCACATTTTTGGTCAAGGCCCCACATTTGGAGATGTCCTATTGCTAGCAGAGTCCGAGGCACAGGGAGTGTGTGTGTACACATGCATACATGTATATGTGTCCTTTCTTCTCTCTTTATTGTTTTGAAATCATGATTATTCATCATGAGATCTCAGCCTGGTTGACTTTAGCTAATTCTGTTCATTTCCCAAAAGGTCATTCTGTAAACATTACAGTCAAATTAACTGTAGTTTCAGAAGGGACAAATCATATTGAAACCTTGTTAGAGAGAAAGAGGAACCAAGTTTGAGCAAAGAAAAACCTTGAATGTGCATTTAATGGAATCCTTTAGTTCTTTCACACATTGTCTTTAAAAATAATTTATAATATAAACGGTCTTTAGTTCTTACATTGAAATTTTGTTACTTCTGGTTCCTTTCTCTACACTAACTGAATTCAATTTTCTTTTAAAATAAAATTTCCCAGAATTATGTAAGCACAGAATGCTACGTAGTTGGCATAGAGGTATAGTTATTAAAAATTTTATTTGCAAATTTAAAATGTTATGATGAAATTACCTCATTTCCATTAATATGGAAACTATATCTTTTTTACTGTTCTAAATCAATTCAATGGAAATATTATAACACCAGCTTATAGAATTTTACTTTTTAATTTAAAAATAAGATAATATGGAGATAAATTAGTATATACATTTTTCATTTTTCCTTATTTAAATAAGAAACTTATAAGGAGAAAAGCACAATATCAAGTACGCAGCCATGACACCACTGCTAGCAATTTGTTAGGAGCAGTTAACACTTTGAAAAACTTTAAAAAATAATTTTAAATAAGTGCTACAGTTTGCTGTCTCTGACATTTTAAAGATGGAAATAGAATACTTCCTTCTTTGTTTTCCCAGGAAAATGCAAGATCATTGAGGGCAAAACACTGTATAACTTTTTGTGATTGTATTGCCAGTATGCAGAATGGTGTTTGGCTCTAAGTAGATGTTATTGTTAAAAGGTTTATTTTTTTTCATTCCTTGTGAGGAAAATTTATTATTGCTGGCCTTAAAAGGTTTATTTTTTAAAATTTAAAACTGTATCCATTTGTGACACAATTCAGGTTGTCACTTTTACTAGTTTATGCCATTTAGAAGTAGCAAAATCTCTTTAGTGGTTGTTAGAAGGTTGTAAAAAGCCATATATATAATGTGTTTATTCTGCCTTCTAAATAATTGACGCTACCCTGCATGATTGTGTATGCTTATAATCCTAGCACTTGGAAGACTGAGGCAGGAGGATTGGGATTAGTTTGAGGCCAGCCTGGACTATGTAGTAAGTTCAAGGCAATCCTGAATTTAAAAGTGTGGCTGAAAACCCTAACTAAAATAAAATAAAATAAAATAAAATAAATATTTGACATTATTAAATACCCACAGACAAAAGAAGTTTCTAACAGAGATATTTCTATCCATGTTGTATACAGTGTTATTTCAATGAATGTATACAGTAACTAAAATGTAGTGAACTGGTTTTTTAAAAATAGATTATCTGTACTTACTAAATAACATGGTAAATATTGAGAAATCTAATTTAATTTCTATTTCTTTTTAGAGCAGTATACAAAGATGCTGATTTGTATCTATTAGACTCTCCTTTTGGATACCTAGATGTTTTAACAGAAAAACAAATATTTGAAAGGTATGTTCTTTGTATAATTTATTTATAAAACTTATAGTAAAGATAAGAAAAAAGAGTGTACCATCACAGACTGAATATACTGTCTTGAGACCTTTTTTTGTGACTCACCATAGACAGATACATCATATTTGCTCAAGCTGCTGTGCTTCACTGGCAAGACTGAAGGCCGTTTCCATTAAAACCTTTCTGAGCACTGTATTGCTATTGTTACAACAGTTGCTATTACATCTGGGGTTTCTGCAATTACTGCCTTGTGATATATATTCTACAGCAATAGTTAGTTATATGACTTGATTTCAAAGTTTCAAAGTGATTTTACAGGTGATAATTTACTAGGAGCACAGTTACTATATACTGTTCTGGAAATAAATATTTTAAACAATAAGGATGGATATATGTGTAGTATGTAAAATGGTGTAATCTCTAGAATTACTCTTTCTAGAATTTAAATTTGTTTATTGCCTACTTCAAATTTTTATATATTTTTGAGATTTAAAATATTCTGGAAGCTTACTAATTTTGCTTTATAACATCCTGAAATATTTTTAATTATGTTCTTTAAAACATAAAAAGCTGGGCTGAGGTTTTAAAAAGAAGCATAAGTGCCTGCCTGGTTGGTAAGCACAAGGTCATGAGTTTGATCCCCAGTACAAAAACAAAAACAAAAATCAAACAAACAAACAAAAACATGAAGCCAGGCATCATTTTTCATAAGTGGACTTCTATGGCATTGTTTTGACTGACATTTTCAGTTTATGTTAACTCTCATTCAAGTGATACTAGATAATGGAAAGATTTTTAGACTTACAAATCCCAAGGTTATTTTATCTCAGCCTCTCAGGATAAGCTGTCAAGTACCAGCAACAGAATCTCCATTCAAATTATACCCAGTTCTCATTTTTACTCACTGACTTCTTCATGAATCTGTATTGAAGTACATATTATTATAAGATAGTTTATGAGTTGAACTTCTTTCTTTTATTCTTAATCTAATGGGGAAGTCTTTCATTCATCTTTCCACAAAACTTATTTTATCCACTCTAATATACCCTTTTACTAATACCGCACATTAAGACTGCAGTTATCGTTGAAATCCCTTTATTTGCCTTGCAGTGATATTATATAGCTTGACTTCCTTATACTCTGAAAAATGGCAAGTAATTTGCAAAATTTTAAGCGTACAGTAACTCAAATTAGGGCAAGTTTTTAAAAGTTATTTAACAAAAACGACACCCATCCACTTTTATTGATTTACTTTATATGTTAGTTTAAACCTTAAGTGAGTACAGCATCATAGAATCTGTGTCCAGTGGCATTAGCATAAAAGTTACTTTATTTAGCATAAACCATTCTGACATTTCAATAGTCATATTGCCTTACTCCAAGTTATTCTGGTATTATTTAGTTTGCTACCAGGAGTCATTGTTTTGTTTTTGATTTATACACCGTAAAGTTCAATTTTATTCTGAATTTTATCACTCTGATTTTAAGAGGAGTCAAGTGGTACCTTTGGTTCTGGAGACCCCACTTGAAGCCAGCAAAATGATTTCGTATCAGTCCTCCAGATATATATGCTTTTTAGAAGCCCTGCTCCCAGCAGGCCACTTCAGACTCCAGGATGTCAGAAGGAGCAGCTTTAGTCCAATTTAATATCCAAAATGCTATTTTTATAACCTTGGGGCTATGATATGTGACTTCTTGCCAATATAAACTGTGCTACATTTATATGGTTGTTTGTATTGTTATTATGACATATAATATTTTAATGGATAAAACTGATCTCTCCTAAATGGATTTAGTTAGGATTTACTTTTAGACTAGAGGAAAATTTTATTAGAGGAAGCTCAAATTTTATTATCAAACTCTCAATTATGTTTTAAAAATTTGTTCAGTATTTATATGGTCAACCAAAAATGTAGAAGGAAATTCACTAACAAAATTTAAAGAACAAAAATCTTTAACACTTTAGAAGATATTTGTTAGTTTAGACTTGTAGAGACATTGAAGATCATATAATAATTCCCTCATTTGCTAAGGAAATAAACCAGCGTCTCACAGAATATATAATTAGCTCAAAATTATACACCACTGAATATCAGAAATTTAATTTCATTCTAGGTCTGTTAACATTCAACTTTACAATTATTTCATGCTGTAATAATTTAAGAGGCACCAAATGGATTACTAGAGAGTATTTACTTTTAGAATCATTTTAAGTAGAACAATACAATGGTATTATAGAGATTTTATACAATAAAACATTAGTAACATGCTAAAGTAAAATACGTTGTAATAATGAGGTATTTGTGAAATTGATATCTTCTATTTCTTTTCTATTCTTAAAGCTGTGTCTGCAAATTGATGGCTAACAAAACTAGGATTTTGGTCACTTCTAAAATGGAACATTTAAAGAAAGCTGACAAAATATTAATTTTACATGAAGGTAGCAGCTATTTTTATGGTACATTTTCTGAGCTACAAAATCTACGGCCAGATTTTAGTTCAAAGCTCATGGGATATGATTCTTTTGACCAGTTTAGTGCAGAAAGAAGGAATTCAATCTTAACTGAGACTTTACGTCGTTTCTCCTTAGAAGGAGATCCCTCTGTTTCCTTCAATGAAACAAAAAAACAATCTTTTAAACAGACTGGAGAGTTTGGGGAAAAAAGGAAAAACTCAATTCTCAATTCAATCAACTCTATAAGAAAATTTTCTATTGTACCAAAAACTCCTTTGCAAATAAGTGGCATTGAAGAGGATTCTGATGACCCTGTGGAGAGAAGACTGTCCCTAGTTCCAGATTCTGAGCAGTCAGATGGGCTCCTGCTTCGCAGCAACGTGATCCACACTGGACCCACTTTCCAGGGCAGTAGGAGACAGTCGGTGTTGAACCTGATAACACACTCAGTTAACCAAGGGCAGAGCTTTCGCCGGACGACAACAGCACCCTCAAGAAAAATGTCATTGGCCCCACAGGCCAGCTTAACAGAAATGGATATATATTCAAGACGGTTGTCTCAAGACAGTAGCTTGGAAATCAATGAGGAAATTAACGAAGAAGATTTGAAGGTATGTATAAATTACTATCAACCACCCCATGAAATTGAGTCCAATGCAATATATATTATGTAGCCAAAATCACTCATATTTTGGAAGTTTTAAGACTTTGAAAGCTCAAACACCATTAGTTATGTAAGTAGCTTCCACATACAAAGTAATCAACTTTTCCCAATTACAGTGGTTCTATATCTTCTCCTAAGATGTTTTATATGCCAATGCAAGATTTATTATTGAGTCCTTTACCACACCAGGGATATTCATTATTATAAATTAAAAAGAATCTACTTTGTTACCACTCAAATCCTCTGTGGAATAAAGTATAAATAAATATGGAATTAAGTCTTGGTAGATAAAGATCCAGAACTACTTCAGTATGAGGTAGCTCATATAAATATTATAAATATCTGGTCTCTCAACAGGATTAACTCACATTCTAGTTTAAACATTAGTCTTGCCTGAAAATGCTTAGTAGGGACTTTTTTTAAAAATCTTTTACATTTGTATCATACGTTGGGTTTCTGAAATAGTTTTTTTTTTTTTTAAAGACTGGAAATCTTGAGGCAGAAAGTCTGTTGTATTATTTAATTTAATTTATTTATTTGGTTTTTTGAGATAAGATGTTGCTACCTAGTGCAGGTTGGCCTACTCACTGTGTAGTCCAGGCTGACCTTGAACTCTGGGTAATTTTCCTGCCTACCTAGGGCTGGGATTACAGACATTAGCCACCAGGCCCATTTTATTATTTAAAGAACAAAATGTTTTAATTATTAAGAACAGAAAACCACATAAAATGAAGAGAGTTAGTTGTTGTATTCTTACCAGACAATTTATATGCCTTGGGTAAAATAAAGTACTGGCACAGTTGTAACAGACTGACATAATCATAATGTATATTACTTAAAAGCAGTGTGGTTTTAGCAAATCACAAGTCATTTAATATGCCCAGGACAGGATTTTCCCCTTTGTAAGATAAAGGAATAGGTGATTCCTAAAATACATATTTTCAATACTTACAGAAGTTTCCTAAAGGATAACCCATCAATATGATTAAATATCCAGGTACTCAAACCTGAGAAATTTTATAGCATATAGTCATAGAGCCTACATATTTACTGATAATGAATGATATTTTTGACTAAATAGTATTTTCTAATTGTTCGTAGTGCTAGTGAGCACACACTTAGTTCCCAGAACTGTGCTAGGAACTATGTATTTATCATTGTCCTCGTTAACAGGTAAGGAAACTAACTGAAATTCAGAGCTCAGCAACTTGCTCTAAAGCAGCCACTAAGATTTCAAAGATGGAATTTGGATTCAAATTTAGAACTGTTTGACTAAAAAATAAAAAATAAACCAAACACCCCCCCCCCCAGATTCTAACCTGTGTACTCTATTTCAGTTTCATAGGACCCCTCCTCATGGTTCTGTCACTTCTTTTGTGAGTGTTGTAGAGTTCTACAGGAACAAGCCTTTTTTTCTTTTCTTTTCTTTTTTCTTTCTTGTCTTTTTGAAACAGGGTCTTGTTATGCAGTTCAGGCTGGCCTTGAGTTCACTTTGAGCCCAGGCTGGTCTCGAACTCACAACAATCCTCCTGCCCCAGCTTCCCAAGTGCTGGGATTGCAGGCATGTGTCGCCATGTCCAGCTGAACAAGCCTTTCTTTAACATTAAACTATCAAGAATCTCTCCTTCAAATTTTTGAAATGTATTTGTGAGAGACAAATAAAGATTTCTTGGTATAGGTACCTAAGATTAGAATTATGTAATTTAAGTGATGCCTAGAAAGAGTTAACTTTATGCTGCTGAGGAATGTACAAACCAAAAATCAGCTGCCAATCTAACAAAATAGCAAACTGTGCTTAATTTGTGACCCTTGAAGAAGCAAGACAAATTAAGGAGAGTTCTGGGAAACTTCCTTTTGACAATATTCATTTTAAAAAGGCATGACACTTTTAAGTACTTACATGCTAAAATTATTCTACAATAATACAATAATATAGCCAACGAAATAATAGTAGAATTTTTTTTTTGTCTTTTTCATTTTTATCGGTACCAGGGATCAAACTCAGGACTGCCTGCTTGCAAGGCAGGTGCTTATGCCGCTGAGCTAAACTCCCATCCCCAATAATAGTAGAATATTGAAAATTAGAGTATGTCTCATTTTTAGAAAAACTATATAGCTCCAGTGGATATCATACAGGCTATGGAGTAATTTCACAAATAGCATTCAAAATGATTTATACTTATTAAAATATACTTAACTTCAAGTATGAAATTTCTTTATTTATACATATTCAAAATAAAACCATAATGTGGTATGAAATGGTGTTGTCTTGTTGTGATAACTATGACTCTTTTTTCAGGAATGCTTTTTTGATGATGTAGAGAACATACCAACAGTAACCACTTGGAACACATACCTTCGCTACATTACTGTCCATAAGAGCTTGATTTTGGTGCTTATTTGGTGCTTAATTATTTTTCTGGCTGAGGTAAGAATGTTCTGTTACAAAACATTATTATGATTAAAAGTTTTGAAAGATATATACATTTATATGTACACACATATAAATGTGTATTTATGTTTATTTATGTGTATATATGTAACCTTATGGTACATACTTACACAGTTTCATATATAGTTTTTTTTGAAATCAATAATTGATGTTTTACCATTTTATGCATAGCATTATAATATGCTTACACAGAGATTCTACATGAAATTAAAAATACATTGTATTACATATATTTAAAGTATGTAACATTATGGAATTCATATAGATTGTAGAAAGGTTACTTACTTTGGTGAAGCAAGTGAACATATTCATATTGCAAATACCCTTTTAGAGCATCTACAATCTACTCCTTTAACATGAGTCCCAATTTTATTAACTATAATCCTTACGTTGTATATCTAAGATATGAAAAAATTTTAAAAGTGTTTCATAATTTCAAAGTATAAAGCCTTTATATAAATTGAAACAAAATAATTCTATACTAAATTCTAAGTTCATTTAATGGTAGACATTGTACTATTAAATATGCAAGAAATAATTCTCTAAATGGCTTTTTCACCAAATGTTTATAATATATGTTAGTGACTTGAAATGATTTTAAACAACCCTTTTAGAGATACAAATCACCTACTTGCTTACAGAAATTTTTGTCTTCGCTACCATCATTATGGTTTCTTTGCCACACCTTTGTTGTCCTTTGGTTCAGCAAGTTAAAAAAATAAAAAGAGGAAGATCCAGGTAGCACAGTAGACTACAGAAAAGAGATTCTGGATGGCTGGTGGTGGGTAAGGCTTTCTCTAGAAGAGCACCACCATGTGTGTGCCTAAAGAGGCCTGGCAGGGAATGTGGGTGGAGGAGGTGGTGGTGGGAGTGAATGCAGAGCATTTGCGCCCCTGTAACCAACACCAGCAAAGGATTCACCGTGGAAGAATTTGGAATTCCTCAAAGAAATCTAATTTATCAAAATAAGACAGATCCAAATTTTGTTTAAAAGTTTCCCTGTATGTAGTTGATAAAATAAATACAAATAAGCACTATATAGGCACACTAAATTATGTCCATGGATTGGATTTTGCTTATGAAAAACCCATTCCAGCCACTTATTCCAAAGGACATTCCTTGGTGCTTACAAGGCTGAAAACTAAATCTGACTTAGGGTCCATTCTTTCCTTCAGGGAAGAAACTACTGTAGTGAAAAACTGCTTTTCCTGAAGCAGTAGAAGGCTGAGCTTACAGCTGCACAATATTTCCTGTTAAATTGTTTCTAACCTCAATTATGAAAGGTTTCAGAAAGTGTTCTCATTTTCCATGATCTTGTAAAAATAGTGTTAAATATATAGGAGTATATATTAAAAAGTTGTACATATCTTTTCACCAAGAAATGAATTTCCACTTATAATCTTTCAGTTTTGGTAATATCTGTTATTTTTGCCTTGTTGTTTTAAATTAACAAAATAAATACAGGCCTGATTTGCAGTGGAATTTGGAATAGTGCCCACTCAGAATGCCCTGAATGTGAGTCCTAACTCTGTCTTATTAACACTGTGAAACTAAACAAGTTAGTTTGCCTCTCTGAGGTGACATTTCCTCAGCTCTTTTAACAGATTAAACAAGTACTGTTTATTAGACCATTTTGTGGGCAAAGAAGCATAGTGATAAATACTTAGGACTTGGTTCATAGTGAGCTATGCTGATTACTGTTATCTTTAGTGGCATATCATTATTGTAAAACTTAAGATAGTTTGAAATAAGCCTATAACAGTGATATAATGAAAATTTCAGTAATTCTTTGATACTTCAACAAAAATATAGTGTGGGGTAATGTGACATGTAGATATGAATAATAAATATGATATTGAAGTGTATCGCAAATTTACCTCATTACTATCTCATTCATGCAGATGGTAATGGTAATGACAACCATTAATAGGTACAAAACTTAACCTGTGCCCCATTTAATTTCAACCAGCCCTTCATAATTGTTAATAATTTGATCGTCTGTTTTGAAAGATCACATTACTTGATTTGTCTTCAACTTATATATGTAAAAAAAAGAAAGAATCTGAATGTGGGAGTGATTTCTGTTAACTTGTAGGACTTTGTCTCCTGTGAAGCAGAATAGAATTGAACTGGTGTACCTTGCAGAATAATTGTATATTAAATAATTCATTAAGTGTTGAGCTGCTATGCCTTTACAGAATATTATTATTCATTTAAGAGGGAAATGGTGGTCTGTTATCATCAGGCAAGAAACTATATTATGAATTTATTTATTTATTTATTTATTTTGGTACCAGGGATTGAACTCATGATCTTGCACTTATCAGGCAGGCACGTAAGCCACTGAGCTAAATCCTCAGCCCAAGAAACTACATTATGAGAGTTTGTAAATACTGTGAAACTGCCCATGATTAGTTGAGTTCAGGTTTACTGCAAAAAAGTTCTTTTTTTTTTTTTTTTTTTTTTTTTAGTGAAGAAAATGATTGATGATTCTCTTTCTGAGAAAGAAATAATCTCTATTGAACTTTTTGGTCATTCTTCTATAGGTGGTAACAATTAACTAGTCCTTACAATTCTTAATAACAAAAAATTTGAATAGCAAAACATGATAATAGTAAAAGACAGTAATTTTAGAATTACATGCATAATTATAAAGCTAAACAATTCATTCACTAGTGTTTATAATCCTCTTGGCCTCTTTGAATCAAATTACGTGGTTTTTCTTTTAGATTAAGCTTTTTTCCATTTATTAAAAATATTTATTACTGCATGTTTGTAGTACATAATGACTACATTTATTGTGAAGAGTTTGCATGTGTGCATAGTACATCTTACTTATATATTTTTGTCCCTTTCTCCTTCCATCCCTTCCTATTCCTTCAAACTCTTCTTCCACTTCCCATTTGCAAAAGCTCTACTTTCATTTTTTCTTCAATTCTTGTTTTTAAAACTCATACCCTTCCTTCTCTCTTTCCATTTGAGAAAGATCTCTCATTTCTCTTCTCTTGATCCCCTTTCCATTTGAAAAAGATTTCCCTACTTCCATTTGTCTTTATTTTACTCTTTATATCTATTTCTTATTATCGGTGAACATGTCATTGTTACGTTAGCTGTGATACAGGTCATAATCCAGAATGATAGTTAAGCTCTTTTAAAGCTTGCTTAGAGAGTAATGAAGTGTGATCACAATATACAGTGAGTATTTAAATAAAATTTATTACAACAAAAGACACATTCCTATTAATATTTCACAAATCACCCTCCTTCACTTCCAACACATTTGTCTCTTGCTGCATTTTGAAGGAGTTCTAGAATTCTTCCTTTATGGATATCTTTATAAAATGGGTTCAAAAATACAGTGAATGCCGCTGTTATGTGTCATCTAAGGGGAAAGCAAGCTTGTAGATGCATTATGGTGTATCTCATTCTACCTCACTCACGATCTGGCACAAAGAAAATAAGATAAAATTTCTATTGTGCTAGTCATTCTGGTGGTTTTATTGGCAGTGTATTATTGACTAGACACAGAAGAAATGCACGTAATAGATTAGGAGGTAGTTTCCAACAACTTGCACAGTGTTACTGATTGAAACATCTGAGGATCAAGTTTAGTTCTTCCATTCTAATTAAGATTGTGTCAGAGATCTGCTATATCCTATTCTTTTATGCCTTCCTTTCTATTTATTAATGAGGAATCCCTGAGTGGCTTTGCATTGCAGTGAAACAGATTCAGCATACTCCCATAATACCACTTGCAGTATTGACCTAACGGATATTACTTACCATGGATCTATGTTTTAGGGCATAGTTTGACCATAAAGTATATGCTAATATTCTTTGTGATGTGGAATAATGTTTACAACCTCCAGAAAATGGAAAATAAATGTATCTTTTCTTTTCCCTATTAATCAGGACTGTCATTGTATCTAAAATTGCATGCTGTGTATAGCCTCGAAGCATTTTGAAAATGACATCATAGGAAGTACTCATTTGGGCCTAGATAGCCAAAATATTTTTACTAAAGTTATTATGTCAAATCTTTTAAAATATTTTTGTTCTAATCAGGTAAAAAAGTTTGGATTGGAGAATCTATGTAGAGCTAGAGAATATTTTGTAATGACTAGTTCTTTAGAAAACTCATCTGATTATTCCATTTGTGTCACAAAATATTTATCTCTTTGTATTAAAAAACTCATATCTTCTTTATCCATTCATCATTGGTTGGGATTTGGGACATCTAACTATTGCTACTCAGTTATAAAGAAGGGTAAACTTAAGATATTTATAGGTAAATGGGTACACCTAGAAACTATACTCTTAAAATAAATCACACTTACATGTAAGTATCACATTGTTTCTCGGATGTGAGAAATTGAAAATGTATGTAAGGACCAGAATGTGTAATAGATACTGTGAAATAGGAAGAAGACATTCAAATTGGAAGAGGCACAAAGAGGGCGGGAGAAGGCAAGAAAGGGAAAAGAAAAAAAAAAAAAAAAAGAAAGAAAAGGATAAAATGGAAACAAAACTTTTGTAAATAAGCAAGGAAAAAAAGAGTAGAAAGGAGGGAAGGGAATGGGGAAAATTAAGAATTGGGGTATACATGTTCCTGATAATGAATATGATCATTATGTATATCTAAAACACACCGATAAACCTAATTAATGATAAAAAGTAAATGTTAGAAAAAATTTTTAAAATTGTGTATTTGAAGAAGACATGCTGGATCCAGGAAGAGTACAACAAGAAGCCAGTTTGCCCTTCCAATGAGCCACATAAACCATGTGGAGCCAGGTAAGTAAGAGAAGCCAGTTTGCCCTTCCTATGAGCTGCACAAACTATGTGGGGCCCAGGAAGAGAGACAAGCCTTCCCATGTTTGCCTTCCCATCAGTCAGCAGAAGCCATGCTGGGTCTGGGAGGAGTACAACAAGAAGCCCATTCACCTGCATGTGAGCCATGCAAACCATGTGCAGCCCAGGAAGTGAGACAAGCCAATTCGCCCTTCTGTGAGCTGCACAGACCATGTGGGGCCCAGCAAGAGAGACAAGCCAGTTTGCCATTCTCATGAGTCAACAGAAGCCATGCTGGGTCTGTCAGGAGTACAGCAAGAAGCCAATTCACCTTTCCTGCAAGCCATTTGAATCCCAGAAGGCAAGATAAGCCAGTTTACCCTTCCCATGAGCTGTTTGGAGTACAGGCTGAGAATCAAGAAGTACCTCTTTACTCTAACCTCTTTTCCCCCATAAGCAAACAGCTGATTCACAGGACAGGCTAAACTGATAGCAACTGAGGTACGACAACAACTAACTGCTTGCGTTGTTTGACTGACTTTGCAAGCTTGGAGCCTATAGTCTGAGCATCTATTAGGAGGATAATAATTATACAATATAGCAATATGAAGGATTACCTTCTGTCTTGATTTTGAAATCCAACATTGTTCTCACTGTTTTATTTTATTCAATGTTCTTTTTATATTGGTTTTATTCTGTTTTGTTTTGTTTGATTTAACTGTGTCTGGTGGTATGGACAACTGTTTTGAAGATGGCAGGATGTATTTATATGGCTGTTGTTGATTTCCTGTTACTCTGTTTTGAAGTTCTGTACCGTTTTTGCTGTTTTGGTTGACTTTATCCTGTTTTATTTTGTCAAGTTTTATTCTCTTTAAAATAAAAAAATTATATTTCTGATGTAATCATATCCACAGAATGTTGGTAATGCTAGCATCATTGGTGCTTCTTTAATTGGATTGAAACGGGGTGACTTAGCAAATACAGTACCCTTATCTAGGGTGTTGGATAATTTGCTTAACCTTAAAAAAATAAAAGTCATTTATATAAGAATAAAGACTTCTGAAAGAAGTAAATAATTTCTGAGTTTCTTGTCATTTTGAAGTTGAAGCTCAAGGATAAAAGATAGTTTTTGTTTTTATTGAGCCAGTACATGGATTTTATGCTATGTATATAATGAAGAAAAGTAAGAAAGTTGGGAAATATCACATCTAATTGGTGAATTTTAAAAACATATGAATTTTTAAAAAGTATAGATCTTCAGAATGTAAGAATTAATGCAAAATGTTCCCCATAAGTTTTTTGTATAGTATATTTTTAACTCTTTGAGGTAAATTCAAATATAAGTAAGAGTTGTAGATATCTTACTTCTTGTTTGTTTTTCCTTCTATTTACTTTATTCTGTGTTCATTTCCAGAATCACTTCACTCACTATTGCTTGTATTTTTCTATTTCATTCTCTGGTGAAGTCATCATTGGATTGATTATATGACTTGAGAGTTATTTCTAATATTGTAATTGTGATGGTATCAACACAAGATTAAATTTCTTCACATGGTGTACAAGAATGAAGTGCCAAATTGAAATATATCTGAGCACACATAATTTAAATATAAAAAGGTCTGCAAAACCTGAAGTTGTTTAAAAGTCATTTTTGTTGTTTAGAATGACATAGGAGATTTCTCTTTCAGGCAACTGTTTTCACCATGAACAAGTACTAAATTCTAAGTAATCGTAGTACAAATAGTGTATGTTTTAACTTGAATGCATCTTAACTTTACTCATAAACTATGAGTTTTTATACTGTAGAAACATCTAATTGACTTTCATAAATATTTTCACCTTTTCCAATAACTAATTTGTCTTGCAGGTAAGTCTTTAATAATAATTCCACATCAAATGAAACTATTTGCAGCAACCAAAGAGATTATCTGTCAGGAGGCTGAGATCAGTCTCTCTCTAAAAAATAAGGTTTATTATTAAAATACTTAGCTATAACCTTGTTCTCCTGTGGGATTCATTGAATATAGTCCCTGATGAATAAAGGAGAGACTTGATAAGTACTTACTGTGGTGAAAATTGAATTCAGTAAACTTAATGTATTCTTACCACAAATAACGGTGCTTCAAACAATAGTTGCTAGATCCAGGAAAGCAAAGAAAAAGAAATGAAAGTGTGTGCTTTGATGGTGGTCACTAGAGATGGATGTGAGAGCAATAGGTAGTGTTAAGAAAAAAAAAAATCAACAGTTTATTGTTTCATTCCAGGTGGCTGCTTCTTTAGTTGTCTTGTGGTTACTTAAAAAGTGAGTATTCATATTTTATTATGGATTATGTTTTGTTTTCATTGGTTATTAGGTCTTGTGTAGTATAGCCACATCCACTGTTTTATTTCCCCCTTTTTATAATGGAAGTGAAAAAATAAACTATAGCTATCCTTTGGTTTCTGCATAAAACAGGTTCCAGGACCTCCCATAGATACCAATATATGCAGTTGCTATAATCTGTTATGTAAATGGTGTAGTATTTGCATAGTTCCTATGTGTATCTTCCTGTATATTTTAATCATCTCCAGATTAATTATAAAACATACTACATTTTGTAAATGTTATAAAGATGATTGTTGCAATGAAAAGAAATTTTTAGTGCAGATGCAATTTTTTTAAAAAAATTCAACCCACCATTGGTTGAATCCACAGATTTTCAACCCATGGGTCCATAGGGCTGACTACATTTTCTTTAAATTATAAACATATGTAGTTCCTGAAGTTCTCTTTTCTACTTCTAAAGTAATTAACTTTGTTTCACCTCTGTGAAATGCAGTAAAACATTTGAAACAGTATTATACATGTAGTATTTTCTCTTTTAATCTACTAAATATCAAATTTTATATATATATATTTCGAGAAAAATGTATTGTCTTACAATAGAAAGAAGTTGAGACTAAGAGCACATACTATTAATCCAATATGTTGTTTCTTAAGACTTTATTTTTTTCCATGTATTGGAAATTCCATAGACAAGTGTTGTTGCCAAATAACATTTTCCTTTTTTTGTTTTTACAGCAACACTCCTCAACAGGAAATGAATAGTACTCAAAGTGGAAATAGAAGCTATCCTGTGATTATCACCAACACCAGCTTCTATTATATTTTTTACATTTATGTGGGAGTAGCTGACACTTTACTTGCTCTGGGATTGTTCAGAGGTTTGCCACTAGTGCACACACTAATCACAGTGTCAAAAATTTTACATCACAAAATGCTACGCTCTGTTCTTCAAGCCCCCATGTCAACGCTCAACGCTTTGAAAGCAGGTACTTCACTAAGTCTATAATGTGAAGCTGCTGATCCGTCATCAATGGGGCCTGTACTTCTGTGGGTTTTCTATAGCAGCACTGGCTTTTTCAGGGAGGTACCAGCCATTTGTTAAGTCTTCTCATAACTGAAAGGTACATTTCTCGGATGTTACAGGCAAATAAAGAGTGTGGGTTCTAATGTTTCTGGATCCAGTAATGACAGTAGCTTTGTTCATTAGTATGATTGCTGATGGTCAAGTAGCAACAGAAGCAGTCTGCTTCACCTGTCCTTGTCTTCTCAGATATTTGACTATCTCCTTTCAAGCATATTTTTTTGTCAAATGTAATATTATACAAAGAAGCAGATAATTTAAAGTGACCGAGGAAAATGTAAAAGTCTTCTGCTAATAAAGTCTTTTCACAGAGCAGAATAACCTAGTTTTACCTAACCTGTTTAAGGGCAATCATATAAATTTGTTTCAGTTTTTCTTAAGGCTAGAGAAGATCCCAGATGTATTTTAAAACTGTTTTGGCACTATTATAGATAAAAAGAAAATATTCAGAGTAATGGAATAAAGGGGCCAAAACTTTTTAACAAAACTTATAGCAATATATAGATAATATGAAAGTAATCAATTCCATTGATAACTGTTTAGGTGAATTCACATCTAAAGACTCTGAGGTTAGTAAGATGCCCTGCCATGTTTCATACTTACAACAACCTGTGGAGCTTTTACTCTAAGCCAGGGTAGAGGTTGGGGGCAGAGATGGAGATAGTACATAAAGATCAATAAGGCACAGTCCTTACCCCCGAGGTGCTTACAGATACATGGATGAGCTTCACACCCAGATATTCGTTCAACTAGAAATAAATTGCAAGCGTGAGACTTGTAGAGAGATATATATGTAAAAATTTCAGGTAATAACCATTTTTACTGCATAATAAAATTTCAGGGGCATTACATAGGAAGACCTTTGTATTTATCTTGAAACCCATGTGTGTCACTAATGGTCTGTGTCCCTCTGATATTTCCATTGCCATTCCATTTTAGAGGAAAAATTTTAGATCTAAGTGGTTGATCAATACACTAGATTCAATAAATTCATTCCTAACAGAAATTCAAGACCCAGACCTGGTAGATGATTTTCCAAGTTTCTGGCAAAGGCAGAAATGAGGCAGGAGATACAGTTGATAATTGCATTCTTTGCACCCTGGTTTGGTTTTGTAAGAGTGCCGATACAGGCAAGTTATTTTTCTGAGCATTGGCCTGCTCACTTCTCAGCTAAGAGAAAGAATTATCTTAGGGGGTCTGTGGAAATGAAAGAAAGCAATTTGTTTTCCTATCCGTGGCTGACATGAGATATGTGAACTAAGTGTTACCCTCCCATCACCATTCCATTGGTGAGGTGCTGTTTTCATGCAGTGCACTCTCCATTCTACCTCTTTCCAAGTTCCTCATTCTCTTAAATGCTGTTTATAATTGGTTCTAAGTTTCTTTTCTATCATATTTAAACGGTTACCTGTACTTTCTTGTTCTTCATTTATCTTGCCTTCCAAACTTTTCTCTGCTTTGTAGGATGATTCCTAAACACCCCTGTATTGTTTGTGTTTCTTCTTTGTGATTCTGAGAACTGAAATAGCCATCTGACTTACAATGGCTGTATGTCCTTTTTCTGCCCCTCATCTTACCCTCCAATTTTTATGTGTAAGGATTATGTTTTCTTTTAATAACTATCTATATTATGGATTCAAGGTTTATGAGGTCTCATCCTGTCACCTAGTTGTTCTCTGCTATATTTGGCAATTGCAAGGGCAATGTATGCTTACAATTTCTCCCAGATGTGCCTTCAACTGTAGATCGACCTTGGTTTTCTCAGACTATTGCCTGATTTTCCTATCAGTTTTAAATGGCCTTAAGCTCATACATAGTAAATGATTAGCAAAGTATGTTGAATAGATGAAAAGTATAAATGTATATCTTGACAGAATACTACAGTAGGAAATATACACATCAATATGATTTTTATTTACCAAAACCAACTCTCAATTTCTAAACAGTAACTATACCTATGGCTGTTTTTTTCAACTTTTGGTTTATTTATGGAAATACAAATATGTTTAATAAAAGATGCTAATGAATAAATAATGTATGCATGTAAGCCTTTTTGCTAAGGGGGCCAGACTATAGGTGATTTCTCATAATTTACAATCTAGGGAAAGAGATGACACCTGTACATAAACAAAGCAGCTATACAACATGCACAGTAAAACAGAGGCTCAGATGAGAAAGAAAAGAGCAATTCTAACTGTACCAAGCACTGAAGCTGTCTTCCAAGAGGGTTTTTTGAATTGAGAAAAAAAAAAAACAGATTTTCTATTTTTGTTTTTTGGAAATATAGATTTTGACAAGTAGAGATGAGAGGAAAAGACTTTCAGACAGAGAACTACATAGGAGGTAGGAGGTAAAAAAGCATGCAATATGTTTAAAGAATAGACCAATTTGGCTGAAATAAGATATGTTAGTAGAAAAAGCTTCTACTAGATAGGTAAGGCCAAATTGTGGAAAACATTAAATATTAAGCTAAGAGTTTTGGACTTTATCCTGCAGTTATAATGGGTGAATGATAAAGTTCAATATGATTTTGTTTGTACAGTATTATATTTTATCTAATTGTTTGTTTAATTCCTCTCCAGATGATGAATTCCTCAAGGGCAAGGAGCATGGCTTATTCACCTCTATTATCTCAATGCCTGGCATTGTGCTTGGCACATATTAGACACTCCATATGAAATTATCTTTATTACAGCAATTATCAAACTTACAAATGTGAGTCTAGAATTTAGAAGACAGGCTGAAGCTTAGAATGTTGATGAAGAGCGTAGAAGAAAATCATGGCAAAGAGGTCCACATACTAAGCACATGCAAGGAGGGAGAGCAGCCTTGGCCTCTTCAGATGAGCCCCAGAAAGATATGAAGGTCATAGGAAAGAGAGAGTTCTATGTGATGGAATATAGACATGAGTTAGGGGATGGCAGCATATCCAGTAAATTATCCTTAAACTCAAAGGCAAAAAGTGAGTTTGTAATCTTTGGATGCCATTCATGATATAATTTATAATAAGAACTCTATTAAAGATTTTTTAACCTAAATCTTAAAGTAATCTGTTTATAAATGCTTAAAAGTTGGTGACAACAATTTATTTACATAGTCACTTAGAATCTTGGGCAAAACAAATTTTCTAAGTCTGTACTTATTGAACTACATGCTAATTGTTATTTGAATTCTGACTATTTCTGCTGTAATCCAAATTTAATATTAAATACTTGGATATACGTTCTTAAAATTACTCTATTTTTAAGAAATTTATCTTTGTATTATAGGTGGAATTCTTAATAGATTCTCCAAAGATATAGCAATTCTAGATGATCTTCTGCCTCTTACCATATTTGACTTCATCCAGGTTTGTAAAAATTAACTACTGTTGACTATCGTTGCATTTGTCATATTTTTAAATAATTACAAAGAGAAGTTAATGAGGTTTTCTCTAGTTTCATTTGAGAGTTGGAGTTGGTCTATTGTATACATTTTGTGAATATCTAGTCTTCAAACTAGACATAAATTTAGTAAATTAGGCAGAATTGTTTATCTTACCTAAACCCATGACAATTCCATGTCTAGATGTAAGGACTATTTTGGGGGAATTATTTGAAAGGCAAAATAGATTCTCTTACCCTGAATTATTGGCATTAATAACATTATACTTTGGAAGTCCATGTACTATACCTCTTTTTTAAAAAATCCCATATTAAAATTAAGATGGTTTGTCTGAGTGGGTTGCACTCAAAACCAGTGTCACTCACAAGCACTTTGGCACAAATTAGCTAACCAGTTTCCATATGGTAAGTACCACAATTAAGAGTCAGATATAAGATAACTTTTTGAGTAGGTGAGAGGAAAAAAAAGAGAAATTCAAGTAATATGAGGGCTGTCCCTGAGTGACAGATGTGAATAGTTTTCCAAGGCAATCCATCTGTGAGGTTGAGGTCTGGGGTAAGCAAACTGATTAGTGATGAGTGGAAAATGGGTTTGGTGGTGGAGATGTTTGTGACTTTGGGTAACAACATTAGAACTCCACAGTGACGGGACTTAAGAGGTTTTAAGATATCATCTTAAGAGTCAAGATGATATCCTTGACTATTGGACCAGATCTGAGTGCAGCTGTATGAGCTTCCTGTATGATTTAATTGAAGCTTCAAATAGCAAATGCCCCAACCTCAATGACTGCTTTGGAAAAGCAGCTGAACTAGAGTTAGGAGTGAGTCATTCTCCTCTCTTACCCCTCTTCTGTACTCCAAAATAATGAGACATGGAGACAACTTTAAAGAAAAATAAGAGCTACTATGTGTGTATGTACACAGATAACATTGACAGATGCAGAAAAATCAGCCTGTCCATTTGTGTCATCAGAAATGACTGACACAATAATATATTTATATGGTTCCAAGAGACCTTTTGAATTTTCTTCAGTCACTGTATTTAGAGATATAACTCAGCTGTACCTGCTGGAATTTTTATCCATATTTTGAGTCCATGCATTCATAGGAGCATTTCCTGCATATTTCTTTAAATGCTGCATATATGTTCCATGCTGAGGGATAACTGGTCCCAAGTATAACATTATTAAGTGAGGTACAAACTCAAACTTGGACTTTGACCTAACTGCAAAAATATTCACAAATGATGCCCTTTAATAATTATTTCCTTACTTTTATAGCCTACTGAGTATCTTTTGAATCAGTTTGATGCTTACCTCAGAAATTTTCTGGGAGTGTTAATCTTTAAATATTTATTTTGTAAATTAGCATATATATATATATATATATATAGGTTCTTGAATCCTTTTTCTTTTTTTTTTTTCCTTCGTTTTTATTGGTACCAGGGATCAAACTCACAACTGCCTGCTTGCAAGGCAGGCGCTTATGCCACTGAGCTAAATCCCCAGCCCCTCTTGAATCCTTTTTCATGTTTCATTTTCATGTTTCCTTTTTCATTCTGATTTTTCACTTATTTCAGTTATTTTCTTAGATTAGTCTTCTTTGTGTCATCTAGCAGCTTTTGAATCCATTCTTCGTGTTCTCTTGTTGTTGTAAGGTGTCTTTAAATAGTTGGTCTTTGAAAATATTGTCTTTTAGTTCTGAAACTCTGTCCTCACATTGGTAACTTCAGTTAACTTTACTTTCAATATGATTTTTAATTTCTTGGATTTCTAATTTAAACCTTTTCACGGACTCTAATTCTTTGGTAAGCTTGTTATTCTTGTTTTATCATTTTGTTTAGCTCATGTAGCTTTTTATTAGTGTCTTTTGAAAGCTCATTTATCTTTTTGGTTATTGCTTTTGTCACTGTTTGGTTATGTCTTTGCTGACCCCACTGAGTCTTTTGATCTCACCTATTATCCTTTTAATTTGGATGGGTGGTTTAAACTGTTTTGCCCTTTGGTGCCCCATGGATTTCCTTTGATGGAGTTGGGAGTATAGGAAATAATTCTGTTGCCTTTTCTTCTCATGTTTCTTTTGTCTTGTTTTGTTTTGTGCTGAGGTTTGTGGATGCTTATAAAAACTTTGTTCCTAGTATGGAGATCTCTTTGGTTGCTTTTTGGTGATGTACTTTGGGCATAACTATGATCCTTTGCCACCGTGTTAAGATCTGAACACCTTGGATAATTTGGAAGGGGAGAATACACGGTAGTTAGCTCAACAAGCAAATTCTCTGGGAAATTACTGTAGTATTGGTAATGTCACAAAGGTAATCTGAGTGTTGGCTTATAGAGAAACCAAGACAATTTGTGACCCTATTAATATCAAGTGAATGACCTACAGTGTGATTATCCAATGCAGATTGAATGTAAACATATAGCAAGAACCAATTATGTTCCACCCTTAATCCTAGTGAAGACATCTGCAATTACATGGTGTAAACATTAAGATAATGCAGACATTGAGTTACAGCTAATATATACTAAATGCAACAGCTATATTTCAGCTAATGGTAGAAAAAAATTCAACAGTAATTTTACAGTTAACTATCAAAAGATTAACAAACCTTTATAATTATACACTTAAAGACACAGTGTTTGGGAATGGGGGAATGCAAGAGAAAAACTTCAAAATTATAAATTCTATGACATTAGAAGGGGAGAAAAGTGTTGCAAAGGATCTGATTTAGGGAGTAAACGTAGATTGTTCTTTCCTTTATTCCGCATTGTGTCCCTCTCTTCAACTTCTCTGTGCATTTTAATTTTTCTATCAGATCCTTCTTGGTTTCCATGGAATCTACCTTTTTTTTTTTCCTTCCTCAAGTTGTTATTTTCCAGGGTCTGGATTCTGAATCTTGAAGAGGCTGAGTTGTTATTGCATATCACTCTACAATTTTCTCCTATTTTTGATTTTTTGAGGCAGTCTTACTATATTGTTTAAGCTGGCCTTGAAACCATTATATAGCTCCCATCCCCTTTTTAATATTGAAATTCATTGACTTATACTTTTTCTATCTTTTGGTTAGTTTGGCTAAAGATTTGTCAATCTTGTTTATCTTTTCAAAGAACCAATTTTTGTCTTAATCACCTGTATATGATCCTGTATATCATTCTATATCTCATTAATTTTACCTTTGATCTAATTATTTCTTTACTTCTAATATGTTTTATTTCATTTTTTCCTGGTTTTTATAAGACTTTGAGATGCATAATTAGATCATTTATTTGAGATCTCTCTGATATTTTGATGTAGGCATTTATAGCTATAAAATAATTTGTATAGTTTCTGTATTTTCTCTTGTTGATGTTTTTTATTTCATGTCATTATGACCTGGTAGGATGCAAGAAACTACATATTTCAGCATTTTTTGTATTTGTTAAGATGTGTTTTATGGCCTAAAATATGGTCTGTTTTGGAGAATATTCCATGAGCTGCTGAAAAGAACATACACATTCTGTAGTAGTTGCAGGTAATGTTCTGTAGACATCTGTTAGGTCTACTTGACCTATGCTATACCTTAACTCTGATGTTTCTTTGTTATTCTTTTGTGTGTGTGGATGACCTACCTGTTGGTGAGAGAGGAAGCATTTAAGTCACCCCTTATTAGTATATTGGGACCTATGTGTCATTAAATATTGAGTAGTTTGTTTTATAACATTGAGTACCCCAATATTAGGTGCATATATATTTAAATGGTCTTCTTGGTGGATTGTTTCTTTTACCATTATAGTTTGCTTTATAAAATTGAATGCACCAATATTATTTGCATATATGTTTAAATTGTTATATTGTCTTGGTGGATTGTTCCTTTCCCACTATGTAGTGGCTTTCTTTGTCTCCTCTGACTAATTTTATCTTGGAGCCTGCACTCAGTGATTGTAGTAGGATGACTCTAGAGACCCTATAGTATGATTCTTCTGTAACCTCTGATTCCTAAGAATCACTCACTCTTCCACAATAAACCCCTTCTCTGAATGACTCCTGATTATTCTACTACCAAATATGGCGGGGCTGCAGTGGATTTCCTGTATAAAGCTATCTTGCCCTACAAAGGGAGACACATTCAAAGTAAAATCTATACTGTATTTTTTTTTTTTTGTCTTTTTCCTTTTTATCGGTACCAGGGATCAAACTCACGACTGCCTGCTTGCAAGGCAGGTGCTTATGCCGCTGAGCTAAATGCCCAGCCCCCATCTATACTGTATTTACAGGTTGTAATAGCTGTGGTTTTCTCCTGGTACCAGTGCTGCCCATCTGTTGTTTATCATTAGGGTTGTCAGTTCACTTTGAGTTTGCCTTGTGTATTCAGAGTCAGGTTTTCTTGGCAGAAGCCAAAGCAGGCATTAAGCATTCCAGACTACTTTATTCTTTTCTCTGCATTGTCTTCTGATTTTCCGTGATTTTTAGCTTTTCTGTCTGTTCTTTCCCAATTCTCAGAACTCTTTGACTTTTTCTCTTTCGTAAACAGTTGTTTTACAGATACCTTAATTCTAGGTCCTAGAGAAGCTGTGCTTTGCTACTAGTTTCTACTTCTGTCATATTTAATCCTCCTAAACTTATATTTCAATTAAATATTTCTGAAAAGCTCAGAATATAAATGCCAAAAGTTGTCTCAGTCAACCAAATACATATCCTCAAATTTATAGTCATACTGAAATTATTTCAAAATAGCTTTAAAAAACTCAGGCTAAAAATTTTATATTCTTTTAAAATTTATCATGTATCACATTAAGTGGTCTGAGAAGTGAAAATATCCTGAATTCAAGGAGCACCATGCCTTCAAATTTTCAAGTATGCTGTTGTCTTTGACCTGAACAAATCTTTGAATTTTCATAGATTCTGGAAAAACGTATTTTGAAATATTTGCCTTTCAAGTAGAAGGACACCTGTCTGGTCCTGAGAATAAGTGAGAATGAGTGGGATGACCTTTTATAGATATAAATCACTGACATCTTGTCTGTTTTATGGCATGGAAACATTTACTCACTGACATGTTTTCTTTGACTTTACAGTTGCTGTTAATTGTGATTGGAGCTATAGCAGTCGTCTCAGTTTTACAGCCTTACATCTTCCTGGCAACCGTACCAGTGATAGCAGCTTTTATTATGTTGAGAGCTTACTTCCTCCACACTTCACAGCAACTCAAACAACTGGAGTCTGAAGGTATGACATTGTATGGCAGTGCTCAGCTTGGAAAAAGCCACATGAGCTTTGGCAAATTCTCTATTCATATACTTTGTGAAAAAATTTTTCTGTTTTTACTGTATATAGTAATGATTTTTGAACTATGTATATATGTATAAAACTATACCATAAAGTACACATAGATTATTTATTCATTGTACTAATATATATTTGCAGTACACAATAATTACATTCATCATGGAGAGTTAGTACACACAGTTTATTTTTTTTTTTAACCCGTTTCCCTTCTCCCTCTTTCCTTGATCTCTTGATTCCTTTCCCTTTTGCAAAAGATCTGTCTTCCTGTTTCCTATTATCTTTTATTTTGATCTAAAATTTATTTTATATTTCTCATATGAGAAAAATCATGTGATATTTAAGCTTATCTGATATATTTCATTTAACATTAAGGTCTCAAGGTACATCCATTTTCTTACAAATAATTTTTTGTTAATAAATGACTGCGTGACTTTATTTTGACTTTGAAAGAAGTGTTACCAGGATTGGTGAAAAGGACATTCTTTCATAATTATATAAATTAAATTTAAAAAGTGATGAGCTATCACTGATATAGTGATACTAGGAATAATTTTCTTGGGTTGATTGCCTTCCAAATCTATTTGAACCCTTTGGGAAGCAGATTTTTCTGTCAGCCTTGATGCATTTTTTTTAATTTTTTTTATTATTGTATATATATATATATATATATATATATATATCGTTTATAATGATTGCATTCCTTGTGGGAAGTTGGTTTGCTTGCATGTTTGCATACATAATATATCTTAATTCTATTTTTATTCTCTTCTCCCTTCTTCCATCTCTCGGTCTCCTTTACTTTTGAAAAAGACCTATCTCCCCATTTCCTGTTATCTTTTCTTTTGCTTTTTATGTACATTTTGAATTTCTCCTATAAGAGAAACCTTGCAATATGAAAGCTTGTATGCCTGATTTATTTCGCTTATGTTCTCAAGGTGTATCTATTTTTCTACAAATGACTCAAATTTATCCTTTATAGCAGATAAGTTTTCCATTGTGCATAAATACCACATTTTTACTTCATTCATTTATTGATGGACGTTTAGACTGCTTCCTAGATTTAGCTATTAAAAGTTGTGCTGCTATAAACATGGATATTCATGTATTACTGTAATATATGTGTTCATTTTCAAGACATAAACCTCCACTTACATTTCTGCTTTGAAGGTCTGAGCTAAAGTTGGAAACTTTCTTGAGACATAAAAAAATTTTTTTAGGAGAAAAGAACTATTTTTCAGCAATAAATAATTTAGAATCAACCAGAAAGAAAATGCCCGATGCTAAGAAGTATAAATCAACAATGGTAATAATTTTATTAAAGTTTCTAGCCATGGTAGCCATGTACAAAGGAAGGGTAACTCATTAAAAAACAAACAAACAAACAAACAAAAAAACAACTAACAGATCCCACATACTCAAATCATGGCACCAGAATGAAAGATCTCTCCAACCAGTGACGTTTATATAATCCAAGTAAGTTAGTCTTTTTCAGGATCACAGCAATATAAAATTGCATTCTGTGTTTACTTGATTTGCATCGTTCTCTGTGGAAATATTTCACAGGCAGGAGTCCAATTTTCACGCACCTTGTCACGAGCTTAAAAGGACTATGGACACTTCGTGCCTTTGGACGGCAACCTTACTTTGAAACCCTGTTCCACAAAGCTCTGAATTTGCATACTGCCAACTGGTTCTTGTATCTGTCAACACTGCGCTGGTTTCAAATGAGAATAGAAATGATTTTTGTCATCTTCTTCATTGCTGTTACCTTCATTTCCATTTTAACAACAGGTACGACATACTTGTTAACAATTTAGCAAAGCCTGTAAGTCTAAACTGTAAGCAGATTTTTGTTAATTTTATTGTTAAAAACTGTTTTCTTTAATTTCTGTGGTTTTTTGTTGAACAAATAATTTCCCAATATATCTGTGGTTTTTACCAATAAAAAAAAATCGGAGATACAGAAAGTGGCAGATAGTAAATCTATGAGTGAATGAAAAATATCATGCTCATAATAGTATAAGACTTAAGTATTAGAATTAAGACTATTAGTATAAGAAAAAATTCATACTCATATTAGTATAAGTCTTTTGCTTCAACTCTTACAGGTATCTTTATTAAAGAGCTCTGTGAATAGCAGAAAAGAAATATTCACCTATGAAGATACACACACACACACACACACACACACACTCAAACACACACACACACACACACTCAAACACACACACACACATACACTCCTCTTTTATTCTTTCTGGTAAAAAAAAAATTTCACTAGCTAGTGAAATTATTTATCTAATATGAACTTTGCATGAAGAAAAACTGCCACAGAAGGGAAAAAAACTTATGCGAAAGTGCCATAAACAAGGCATAGTAGTGTATGCTAATAATCCCAGCACTCTGGAAAGCTGAGACAGGAGGGTTACAAGATCCACCGGCACTACAGAGCTCAAGACAAGCCTGGATCGTAAGGGGACTGTCTCAAAAACAACAACAAAAATGCCATGTTTTGCAAATGTAGAGATTCTTAATTCAAGGTTCTTTGGTTAAAAAAAATTCATAAGTAAAATGAAAATTTATATAGATAAAAATGAGTTACTTTAACAAGTTGAATTTCTGAGCTGTAAGAAGTGTTGAATAAATATTCAGAGGGAATACCAAATCAGGGCCAAATCTGCAGGATTATTTGGTTATAATAGCTGCAAAAAGATGTATCAGCTGGTGTTATCGGTGGTCTGAGCCTCAAAGCAGGCAGCACCATTGGGCCCTTAGAACAACCCAAGTGTACATCAGAGTGTCAGGCGCAGGCATCTTTTCTATCTTTTGAGTCCCACCACTGAACTGTGTCCATTCTTTTCCATGACTGCGTCATTTGTTTCTGTCTCTGAGATACGTTTTTTTTTTTTTTTTTTTTATCTCAGCATGGTGGTGCAAGCCTGTAATTACTTGTGAGGCTGAGGCAGGAGGATTGCAAGTTTGAGTTCAGCCTAGGAAACTTAGGGAGATGCTGTCTCAAAATAGAAAACAAAAAAGGCCGGGGATATATCTTCCTGGAAGAGCCTTGGGTGTGATCAACAGTTCCACAGCAAAACAAACAAGTTTTCTTTGTGTACCAGGGCCATGTCACATGAACTTTACGTGGCCTTTCAATTCTAGCTTCTTAAATTAGTAGCAGAGTTACTCTGTCCAATTACAAAGCCTCTACTAGATTAGGGGTCTACCTGCCATGTATCCACACAACTGCTGTGAGGGTAAGAAAGTGCACATTTGCTGTTCTCCAAATCAGAGAAGTGACAAGTTATGTTGAAAAGTACGGAAACAGGCAAGCCAATTCATTAATTTTTTATAGTACAGTCATTTCTGCCATCTTTTTTTAAACTAAAAATTTTATTAGAGTATGAATAAATTTTTCATTTATTTGAAACAAGATAAAAAAAGTCAGATTTTTAAAATGAAGATTTATTAATAATTCAAACCAATAAATCATTTGCTATCATGTAAAGTTAAGAGTATAATTGAATCCTGGTTTATCAGAGACAATAGCGAAAGCATTTAACAATCAGCGTAATACAGAGTCTCCCAGTCTAATCAGAGACAGAGATCCAGCCAGAGTGGATATGGGCCACCCAGCCATATCAACCCTGACTCTGTTAATCCTCAGCTCTTTTTATTTGCAAAAGTTAACTTCTCCAAGCTTCTCATTGTTCTTATGTATAAAGAAAAACAGTAATAATAAAATCTACCTCATATATCTATGGTGAATATTAAACGTAATAATTTGTATGAAACACTTTGATATAGTGCCTAGTCCTCAGTGAATAATCAATACCTGATATTTCATGTTTTTATTAAAATTTTACTGATTTCTACATTAGTCTTTAGAACAGGTAATATATTAGAACCTGAAATGTATCTTAACTATTAAAATAAATTATTTAGTACTAATAGAGTAGATAGGAGTATGACACATCTTTTATTAGAGAAATTGTAAAAAATATTTAAATTAATAAGGTGAATTATTTCTAGCAATTTTTGAACCATATGAGAGTTTAATCATATACTATAAATGCAAATAATATCACTTGGAAATTGATAGCCTAAACTTATAATTTAAGAACATTCCTCTTACCAAATCTTTGGAACATTAAGACTAAGTACTTAAGAATTTTAGTTAGTTGTCTCTCATAACCCTGAAAAACAGCTTATTCTAATTAATAATCAAAGTGGTGTTCTTCTCTGGTGAACTAGTCATTTTATTCTCCCTCTTTCCCTTTTCTTTTCTAACAATGAGCAATCCTCTTTCTAAATGGCAGACCCATTAGTACTGTCAGATTAGGTACTAAAGCCACTTTGTTCCCATTAGCCTCTGATTAGCAAAGAAATTTGTCTTTGCAAAGGTATAAAGTACATCTAAGCATCCTGAAAGTGTTACTCAAATGCATCCTTGTGCTGTTGTCAACTTTTTATAGAGAAGTTCATCTTGATGCAGGATTTATCAACAAACATGGTATCAACCCAAAAGCAACAGCTCCTTCAATACCTAAAACATGTTTTTAAAAAAGATAACTCTTCCTAATACTCAATCACTCTTTCATTTAAAATATTGATTTCTTGCTTTATAAGGGCTCCTATGATGAACTGAGATGGAGAATAGATAAGATCAACATGAAATTGAACTGTTCATTTAAAGTGATATGTCCCATAGATGAAGTAAAAATAAAGTAGTTCACAAAAATAACATGAGCTTTGTTCCTGTGTTTTTTCCATATATAGGTGAAGGACAAGGATCAGTGGGTATTATTCTAACTCTAGCTATGAACATCATGAGCACATTGCAGTGGGCTGTAAATTCCAGCATTGATGTAGATAGCTTGGTAAGTCAGTATTATTTTTTATTATATGAAAAAAATGTAGACACTGTATATTTCATTAAGCCCATATCTAATGTTTCTTCCACACAGAAAGCCACTATTGAAGGTCCAATTCTGCAGTAAACATTACTGCACATGTCTCCTTTACAGGATATTTTTTAGCTTAGATACCTAAAAGTGAATTGTAGGTGATAGCATTTATGCACATTTTTACTAGCTGATAACACATTGCTCTTAATCTGTTACACCAATATATACTCCCAACAAGAAAGTGTAAGACTGTTCATAGCTTTATATCTTCAGCAACAGTTTTTTTCTCTCAGATGTTAGTTTTGGCAATATGATGGATATAAAGTGGTTATGGAGAAGACTGGCAGCTTAACCGATGTTGGTCATTTGAGTTCCTCTTCTGCTAATTGTTCATTTATAGCGTTGCTCAGTTTTTCAACTGAACTGATATGGGATTTTCTTCTTAACTGATTTGAAGAAGTTTATGAATTCTGTTTCAATTTTCAATTTTATACATTTTTAATATACTCCTTAAGTCAGTGACTTGGTTTTAGTTTCTTTTGATAAAAAGAATCTTTTAAGTTTAATGAAGATAATTTTATTAATATTTTCTTTTATGGTTTATACTTTCGGTAATTTATGAAATTCTTCCCTGTCTTGAGTTTTTAAATTCACTAGTAAAACATTTTTCATAATATGCTTTCAAAAAACAATCTTAAGTTATTTGTCGCTTCTTTCTTATTACTTATTTGTCTTTGCCTTTTCTTCTTTTGCTTAATGCTACCATCATTTGTGTACTTTATCAATGTATGCAAAGCCTATAGTCTGAATTTGTTGTTTCTCTTGTTTTTGTTCCCTGTGATGAAGAGACTACAGTGATGTTTCTGTGCTAACACTGTGTCAGTGACACAAATCCCATGGTAATAAGAATGGAGGTGAAAAGAATCTAGACATAATTTCTCATTTTTAGTTTAAAAACAAAACGTCTTAATTTTCCATCAGGCTGGCAGTTGACTGGGTATTTCATCATTGACTTCTTTTATGCCTTTTTTGGTACTATATTGAAAACCAGTCATCCATTCCTGAACTTCTGAAGGGCATAGAAACCCAAGTTAAAAATGATTATATAATGCTATTATTTCACTTTTTACTTAAATTTCTTTCTTCTTTCTCTAAGACAGGTTACATGTTCTCAAACCATATGCATTCACTTAATTATACAACTTATGTAATCAATTTCTATCAGAACAAAAAGTAGTATAAAGTATCTATAAAGAGTGTTTGCTTCGGCAGCACATATACAAAATATCTTTAAAGAAAAAACCATTTAATATATATTACTTGCTCATGTGTCTTCATATTTTATTGAAGCATCATAATAACTCATTGAAATGTAACTTAATGTTAACATGACCTGTGAAGTTTGTTTTTCTTCAATTTTCTAGTTTGACTATAGCATCTTCCTTTATTTCTTCACTTTGTTCTATTTCAGTATTCTTTTAGAATTGATTCTTATAGGTACATGTACAAATGTTTCTGCTGCAAAGTAGGACAGTCCTAATATTGTCCTTGCATTTATTAATTCCATTCAACTTCCTATAACTTTGATTTTACATTTTAAAATTCTTCTGTACTTTACCTTTTTACCTAAACATCACTTAATCTAGTATAATTTCTTCTCTTCCTTGTACTAATTTTCTTGTTTTATGTAGTAGCCAACACATATTCATATCAAAACATTTGTTCAATAAATTTCTCTTCTACATATTCAGTCTCCATGAAAGTTCCCTTAGGATATTTTCTCTTCTCCAGCGTTTCGCTTGGGCATCCTGGGCTTTGTGGCATGTACTTTGACATTCTATCTTTCATCTCATGTTATAAAAAGGCCTTAGCAAGGACCCATTATGTTATGATACAGTCTGTGAAAAGTGTCAATATTTGCATTTGATTTCATTTTTTAAAGTCATGTTCTTTTGTGTGAATATCAAAGTGAAGAGGTGAGCTTTCATTTCCCTGCCAAATGGCAAAAGTGGCCTTTGCTGGGCTTGTGTGGGAGTTTATCTACTTACTAATTCCTGTCATATTGCCTCACTGACACCGTTGCTAAAGTTATAAAGTAGCTCCTTTATTTTCATCTTCACGTATGTTGAGAGTAGGAAGGGGAGACAGAGCTATGCATCAGATTTTATGTTGATATAATGTTCATATTAAAGATGATGTGACTTCTGAAGACAGTTTAGTATATAATTATTTTACTTTACTAAGTTGTTAAGTGAACTTAGAGCTGAGTTTAAAATGAAACAGGATATTTTTCTTGATGTCTACATATTTTTAAGTGAAAGACTATTCAGCAAAAAGACCATTAGAGTTGCAAGGAATATTCCATTTATGCTGTTTCCCCAAAAATAAGACCTAACCAGAAAATGGTCCGCCTTGAAAACTATATTTTATTATAGCATGCATGAACAGTAAAACATTGACAGAACTCTAAGGCTATAAAAATGGCAATATAATTTTTTTCAGCACTCAGAATGGAAGCCAGGACCTCACACATACTAGATACGCAGCATACTAGTAAGCAATATCCTCAGCCCTTTTTAAAGTTTTTACTTTGAGATAGTGTTGCTGAATTCCCAGGCTGAGCTCAAACTTGCAGTTCTCCTACCTCAGGCTCCTTGGTAGCTGTCATTACAGGTGTGGGACCTCTCTCCTTGTGTAACGTGGCTCTGCCTTTACCTCTCACCTGTTACCTCCCACCCAGGTTCCTACATTTTTTTGGCTTTCAGCTAGTCAAGATAATATTTGTGTAACACTTCACTTCTACTGCAAGTTACTTTATATTTATGATCATGCATCTCAAATACCCGCATTCAAAACTACAACAACACATTTATTATGTTGTCTTGCTAAGTTCTTTATTTTATTTCTCAAAACATCTGTTTCCCATCCTCTTTTCTGCCATTAAGTGGTCCAATATTTCCATCCTCCGTACTTTTGACCAATATCTTTGGTTACCTGTCACATAGATGTAGGTTCAACCACAGAGATTCCCTCACTTCTCCCCACCAGATGAACCTGACTCAAATATTCCCCTCCCGCTCTGTGTCCTCGATCCTGTACAGAGCAATAATAAACAGTTGTCCTTGGACTTTTTCACTAGCAAAGAAATATTCTCCTAGCTCCCATACCATTTCTTTCATCTCTTTAAAGCCAAACCTCCTGAGAATATCTCTCTCTATTTCTTCTCCCATTCTTTCCACAGCCTGCTTTGAATTTCATTTCCAGCACCCATTTGACTCATAACCAATATTTTACCCAAACCAATATCCTTTCAGGAATTGCCGTAGACCAATGTTGAGCCATTTCTATCTCATATGCCTGCTGCCTCTTGGTTCTTCTTTAGTCTTCTTTGCTGGTTCCTCTCCACTTTTAAATATCCACTAGATTGCATTCTTCCTAGCTGTTGTTATATGATCCCATGCTTCAGAAATAGTCTCTTGATGAATCATAAATTCCTAACTTCAGTTAGACCTTTCTCCTGATCTCTAAAATACATTCAATCATTTGATACCTTTATGCTCATAAAACACAGTAATAATGTTTCAAGTAGACTTGAAACTTTAGGGCATAAATTCCTATATAGTAGCTCCTCAAAATATATCCAAGATATTAAGAGACCATTAGAATGAGACAAAGCTTCTACCTTACCTACTATTTAGTCTGCAAGGTTAAATAAATAAATGAATAAAAATTAGAAAGCACATCAATGGTGATGTTGCAGGATTAACAATGTCAGACAATCTTGTGACTAACAAATTACTCAAAACTCCTAGTTATCTTCCTTGAATGAGGCAGCTGACAGTTCATGTCTTTTCAGGACTGTCTGTCACAGAGTGAAGGCAACTAAAGTAGCTTCAGCAAGTGAATGGTACCTTGCTTCCTCATTTTCCAAATAAAGCAGTAGATGACCATTTCAATTTCTGGTTGGGCTCTGCCCTATTGAATGGTGTGTCTCTCATACAGCAAGAGGAAAGAAGCCCCTGAGATGAGTGGGAAGGACAATGAACCTCAGGGGAGCACATTTAGATCCAGGTTAATGAGGCTACGGAAGGTTTTGCATGGTTGATGTAATCTAAGAAGAGTTTTCTGTCAATAGAAACTCCTCTGTTTTTCCATTGTCCTTTCATTGCCTGTGTTTATTTTGGGTTCCAGTAAAGATCAAGTGACTGATTGTACAAGATCAAATCTACTGGGAGGTGAAAAGGGAAATCTGGCTTTTTTTTTCCCCTTGGATCTTCATACTTAATGCTCTTGCACTAAAAGTAATTTCTATTATAAGAATCTAGTGCACATTTTGGCAGCACATACATAGTAAGAATCTAAAGGAATTCATTTCTGCTTTTTGGGGGTTTTTTTTGCCTCCTTTTATGGTCTCTTAATCTGTCTCGGTCTTTATGTTCTTAGGAGTCTCTGTGGAACATTTTCCTCTCATAACTTCCATCTCTTTCCAGCCAGCCATTCTCATTCTGTCTCTGCCTCTGTCTCTTTCTCTCTTATTTTTTTGCATCCGGAATTGAACTCAGGACCTCATGCTTGACATATAGGCACTGGGCTGCTGAACTGTATCCCCTGCCCCTTTCCATTATTAGAGCAGCTGTGGTAAGAAAAGCCTGGTATTGCACCCTAGCCTTGCCACTGAAAAGTAGTGTGACTAGCCAAGTCTTAGTCCCACCACTCAGGGCCTCACTTTTCACATCTGTGAAATAAAATGGTTTGGCTAGGAATTTAATAAAGTTTCTGCCGGTTCTGACATTGTCTGTCTTCTAGACTCTTCTTGGAGTCTGTGAAGGACTCCAGTGCTTTATTAGCATCTATGTTAAGCATTAATTCAGATCCTTTATGAAAATTACATGCCTCCCCTATCCCTGAATACAGAGGTCCACTAGTTAAGTTATCTACCACTGTAATTCTAGAACTGTTCTTGGTGATATGTG